GTAAACAGATATGATAGTGTTTGCCATTTGCAGTATCTTAAGTGGTAACTTGAATGTATGTAATTAAATTGTCACTTATTGATTTTACGTAACAATCGAACAAAATGGAAATTCTTTAATTTCCATTTAATTTCATGCTCGTTTCTGTTGATATATATATATATATATATATATATATATATATATATTAATATACCGGATAGTAGCTGGCAATAAATTTACAATAAAAATCAGAGAGTAAAAGTTTAATTTTCATATTTAAATTCAGCATAACATAAATCCATACAATAATTTTAAACCAAAAACAAAAAATAAATTAATTAATTATTAAATGCTTCTCATTTGTGAAAATAATCGTTATATAATTTACGATAATTAATACGTATAATCGATAAACAAAATTACGAAAATACTTTAAACATCGTGTATTAAAGCCGATTAATAATTAAAGTGTAAAAGAATTTCGCACGAACAGTCGATAATTTGCAATTCTATCTTTCAATAAATTTTCTTTTTACTCAAGTAATATAATTTTATACAAAAAAAATTTTAAATAATCATTATATCCATCTGCAGATGCGATGTTCAATTATATTTTAATTTCACGATATTCTGGCATTTTATTCCGTATTCCAGTGTAAGAATTACCACTCCAAGTACTTATTGTCTTATAAGAACAGTTAGATTTAATAATTTACAAAGGATTTCTTCATTACAGTAAGACCGTATACTTTCTTTATTCTAGTCAGAACTTAGCTGCTAGTTAATTGATGCCTGTGTAGTTCATTTGCAGGCATAATTATTGATGTTTCTTCCGTTTCTTTCATACCAGGTTATCAATCATATCTTACTAGTTGCATTTAGTATAATTTGGCATGCGTTATAAGAGTAATTATTACTTTGAATTTATTCGATATTAATTATTACGAGGTTTGTTTTCCATCATTACCTAGTATTATCGCAACTAAAATCTAACCTCTAAATTGAAATTAATTCTTCAAAATAGTATTCAGCTTAAACAACTAACGAGATAATATATTTATTAATATAAAATTAAAGAAAATTCAGATGCCTTGCACTTTAAATAGAAAATTTAACTATACATATGTATATAAAATTACCTACTCGACCCAACATTATCGTTATAAACCAAATTCAATTATCACGAAAAACTCAAAGTCCCTCTTGATGCTTTAACCAATCTACCCTATAATTTACCACGTATGGTAGTTCCGCGACTTCCTAGTCTCTTTGGCTCGTTCGAGGAATTTACATTCGTCCGACGATGCGAATCGCACAAGTGTTGAACGAGAACTAGTGACTTTTGTCAAGAACGTATATCGCGTACGATGAAATGGCGTGTTGGGTCAAGTATGCCGGTATTCCTTGTTGAGCGTGGCTTTCTTTGTTTTCACCCAAGCTCTTACCAAAGTGAGTATCACTCGAATTGACGGCTATTCTTCCACTTCGTCATGCTTAATGCTACCAAACATCCTTTTCACGTTTGCAAATATTTTTAAAAGAATTTATCGTGAATGCGACAATTGCGTTATGCAACGATTGCACTCGCTTTTGAAGATATTCTGTTATCCAATTAATATTAATGTAAATTAATTTGCACCGCCCTAATAAAATAAGCATTAGGAAGAAAATTGCGCGGAGCTAAGAGAAATTTTTTTTTTTTTTTATAGTTTAACTTTCCACGATGTTTATTTAATAACTAGCCTTTATTATATTTATAATTAATTACTCTGACAACAACTAAACGATCTTCATAATTAATCATATGACAATGAATTGAATCGTTATATTTAATATAATTTTTTCACGTTTCATAAATTTAAAGATATATATAGAATACTAAGTTTACATAATAAAGTCTAAATGTTAATTTTTGCGATTTATTAAAAAAAAAAAGATTGAGTAATATAAATTATTTGCCGAGCCTGTACACGTAAGTTCAACAAAATAAAAAAAAAAAAAAAAAAAAAAAAAAAAAAAATGAAAAATTCCCTTCTTAAATACACTTCTTAACTCGAATTTCATTTCATCCTTAAGAATCAAACCATTCGTCTTAATTATTTGAGATCAATTTCTTAAAACATTGGTACTTATGTTTTATTGCGTAATCTGAAAAGTTTTTTTAAATATTTCTCAATTAATATATTTCTCTTGATGTTCGTCTCGAATATGCCCGACTTACGAAATCTTAAAATTATTTCATATATTATATTCACGTAAATAATATTCAAAATAATTTTCTTTACAAATTAATTCTACACAATCGTATTATTTAGAAATGCACTTTTTTATTCTATTTCATCTGTCATTATTATTGTCATTATTATGATTATCTTTATAGCTGTTGTTGTTGTTGGCGTTGTTATTTTGTAGAAATCTTTTTTAAAAATTTTTCTATGTGACTTCTTTGAGGCTATTATTGTCGCGTTAAATAATTAATTCCTGAATTAAAGTTTCACACAACGTTACTGAAATAATAAGAGAAAACCAAATTAACATAGATAATTTTTCGAATTAAGTTATTGTGAAATTCGGTAGAAATAATACAAGTATTCAATTATTACAGGAATTCATTGTCGAGAAATAAATAGTAGGGGTGTTGAATTATTACAAGAATGCGATGCCGAGAAATGAATAATAGAAGTATTGGATTATTACAGGAATTGAATGCCGACAAATGAATAGTTAAGCGATATCGATGCGCCAGAAATTTTGCACGCGCCTTCCGTCCCACAGCATTTTCCATGTGCGCCGTCCACAAACTAGTACGCAGAAATAATAGATAGTAATGACTGCGACGCGAATGATTCTGTGAAAGACGAGGAAAGGTGATTGCGAGATGAGGCTTGAATTGATAATCTGCTCACTGATCGAGCCGCCGTAACGCACAATAAGTGGCCGGCAAATGAATAATAAGCGAATAGACGAGTGACTAAAGGGTTTTGAAGGAGAGAGAGAGAGAGAGAGAGAGAGAGAGAGAGAGAGAAAGAGAGAGTGGGTTTGAATGTGATTTTATTGTTTGTGTCTCGCAATGTAAACCTCTATCGTTGACTTTTATCTCCACCTTAGGCGAGTGACGAGAATGTTAATTACTGCCTTTGTTTTTATTTAAATTAATTAACGGATCGATATGTTGACTGTACATTTACATTGTAAGCATTAAGTACGTTCGGTTACGCGTGTACACAAATCTAAATTCTTTGATACTTTGCTCGTGTTTAATTGATTAATATAATAATATTTGATGTTATACAGTAATGAAAATTTTGATGAATTTTTGCTTTTATTTTGAGAGGACATTTAGAAAGTTTGGATCGTTATTCTTGGCTTACACGTTGAATTTAATTTAAATGATTTATACTTAATTGTCACTACTTTATCATTATATTTATTAATTGTAATTTATTGTCATTATTATTCATAATGCCCGAGTGTTTATAGAAATTTCATAATCTTTTGTTATTAATCTTTCTTATACATGAATTTCAAGCCCAATGATTTAATTGAATATTATATATTTGAGTAATATTAGCGTTTTGTGATATTCAATTGTATTTTCCTAATAATCCTGTAGTAATATTTTTCGCGGATCATTAAAGTAATTACAATTTGCGATTTTAATTAATTACAACGAGCTATTTTCTAAAAGTTTAATTAAAACTTTTACAGCCTATATATTACATTATATTAGAAATTTAATGATATTTTCAAAATATAATTTCATTCTTTTCATCTGATAAATAAAGTTAGGTATCATTCATGAAAGGATATTTAATTTTATTTACATAAAAAAATAAAGGAAATAAATGGTAATACCGTTAATTGATTTGCTTCAATCTTTAGCAAAACTTAAGTGCTTTATAATGCAAATACTCGATAGCAAATACTTTTTTTTTTTTTTACAAATTTTACTAGTTTCTATAAATAAGAATGCATTATTAGTAAAATGTGTTTGAATTAAAAAAAAAAAAAAAAAAAAAATTGGCTAGTAGCATTGAAATATTTTTACATTAATATTTGTATATTTAGATATTGAATATTATTATCGTGGCAATAATTTCTCTTCGATAGGATTTTTATGCAATTGCTAAAGACATCTATGTATAAAACTTCTTTCTCTATACAAAATAAATAGCTAAAAACTTCCTCAAAAGGTTAACGAATCCTTAGAAAAACTTTAGATAATCTTGGTATTTCAGAATATCAAAATGTATTATTCTCATTAAATGGAGGGTTCTTACTTTTTATGTTAATCTTTTTTTTTCGTATCTTATAGATGAATAAACTCAGAAAATACGGCGAATAACAACTATATATAATAAAAATTGCAAATAAAAATGTTCGCACAATAATGTTAATGAACGTTTAAATAAATGGTTTGAAATAAATATCTGAGCTTGCCTTCGGGTACGTATTATTTAGTCATCTACGGTTTACTTTAGAATGTCATATTTACGTTCGTGTTTCACGCTGCAAAATACACACGAAGAAGTAAATACAACTATTTATTGATTGAATGAATTATGAAGTAAGTAAGTGAGAATATTGAAAAGTATAATATATTCATGTAACTTTTATGGCTCATTATAAAGTGATAATAAAGGGCGTAAGAATAATAATTAAGCTAAAATCTCCAATTTTGAGATACAAAATTCAGTAGTAGTTTACTATAAGCATAATCTTACAGTTCTTTCTTTGTAATATCATAATTATTTATGTGAGGTACAATTGCTTTTCTTTGTCGATCATTGTGAAAATTTCTCAAATTTATACCAATCTTCATAATAATAGAGTAATGGATTATGATTAATTTTTTAATTATAATTTCATAAAAACCTGTGTACAGAAAATACCTATTCGATAATGTAATAAATAATTATTTATAATATAGATAAATTTTATGCGAATAAAATGTAAATTTTATTTAAATGAAAATATACAATTAATCGTCTGATTCAAACTTTCCTTCTTACCTCCAGAGCGAAAGTCGTGATGATATTATAACGACAGGGTCGGCTGTCAATACAACAACAAAAAAGAAAAAGAAGATCGAGGGCAGTGCAGGAAGCGATGCATCGCCAAATCATACAAAAACCAAGAAAACCAAGAAAAGTAAGAAGAGTGAACTCGAAAAAGAGAATATTTCCGTGGTAAGTTTTAATTGACGTAACTTCCGAATATCAAATCGTACCATGACTAATATGAAATATGACAAGTCCTACTTGTTTGAAGGCAATACGCTCTGTACAAATGTCTGTTTGCATTGCTGAGATTTGCAATCATTATATCATATGTGTATTAATTAGTGTTGTTACCAATCGTTTACTTTTTGTCTAAAGCAAGCATCATTTATTGCGCTTAACAAGCTACAGCTTAACTTATAATTCTCATTACATTATTAAGAGTAGAAAACATTGAAACAAATAGAAAAAAACAATTTTTTAAAAGACTTGTCTAAAGTTATTCTTTGTTTAAGAATTAAAAAATTTAGACGATGGTATGTATTAAATTAATTTCGCAACTTTATTTAATTAAGAACTGCTTTATTCTGTAGATAAATTTAATACAATTTATCTATATATATATATATATATATATATATATATATGATCATGATAATTTATATATGACAAAAAAAATTTTCTTATTATATTGCTTAAAATCTAATGACATTAAAATTATATAAAATATTCGTTAGGTTGGAGTTTTAAAACAAATTTCTTCGATTAATTAAAACCACCACCATACCAAATTTTTTTAAACTTCCAATGTGTTCTATTCTTAAAAAGTTGGCTATTTAATTATTTTTCATTTATTGAATTTTATATTTATGTACAAATTAAAAATTATCATTAATAATAAAAAAAAAAAAAAAAAAAAATCAAAAAAAAAAAACACACACACACACACACACACACACATTACTCATACGCCTTTGTTTAACGTAGCCAATTATTTTAACATTGCAATTTCTGTATTAAAATTTTATAAATTAAAAGCTTTTGAATTACAACGATCAATTTAAAGCACAAAATTTTCTATACATTACTAAAAAATTTTAATACATTAGTTCGAGTATCGGCATATCTTCAGCCTTTGTACGAAGCTATACGAAACCGTGAAAAAATCAAATTAATGTTTGCAAACACCTCGTAAAGATTTATATTTTATATCTGAATATTATTACTTATTGAAATAATATTGTAAATATTTTGTACCGACTAAGCACTGACATTTTCGTAATTACTTCCGTCCTAACCGACGTTTCATAGAATTTCGTAATTAAATTATAGAATTAATATTATAAACATGATAGTGATGAATATTAAAATAGAATTAGAACGGATTCTCATATGAATTTGTACGGAACGCGTTTGAAACATCAAAAAAGGTAAATATAAATTTTAGAAGCGAAGATACGGTTGAACAGCTTTTTCATTGCCGAAGGTATGCCTAAATACAAAATCGCTTGCTACCATTTTTTTTTCACATTTTCACATGTGCCGCTTATAGAAGAAGAAAATTAAGTCGAAAGAGACGAAGGAGAATATGCATACAGTCTCGCGGCAGGCGTCCGCGGAGATGTTTGAAATCACCGGCGAAGACGATCTGTCGAACGTCAATGTCAAATCTCTAGTAAGTTTTTCCTGCAAGGCTTATTGAACTCGCTTTCACTCAAATTCCGATTATTTTCTCTTTTGCTTTTATATTGCCTCACATCTCAAAATGATTTCGATGTATGCTCTATTTGGTTTGCTGCTGAATATGCTGGTTGTTTCTCATTCTCATTATAAACTGTATTTAACGAACAAAATGGGTAAATTATTTTATACCAGTGTGTGGGTTTTTAAACAAATGTGTATAATTTTTGTTAACCATGTTAATTATAAAAATTTAACTAATATTAGATTTAGTTGAATAAGCGTATTCATGCTCGAGAGAGAGAGAGAGAGAGAGAGAGAGAGAGAGAGAGAGAGAGTGAGATGAAATAAGTGCTTTAATGCATTTGATTAATTGTGTTTCGTTGGTTGTATCATTTACTTAATCGTTTAAGCTATTCGTTTTTCATGTACTTGTATATGATGTGTTCTCCTTATCTTTACATCCGGATCATTGTAATCAATAACTAATACATGAACAATGTTACAAATTGAAATTTTTAAATGAAGAAATCGTCTTTCGTTGCTGATTACATTACTTTCATTGGTAAAATTTAATTTGTTCAATTATTTTGACATTGATAAATCAAAGTCATAGTGAGCGATGAAAACCATTAAAAATAATTTTCATTTTTATTACTTTGATAAGCAGAAAGATATTAGCTCACGTAAAGTGTGATAAATAAATTAATTTACATTTTATAAAACTATTTCTTATAATACTTAGTTTAATAGCGATATGAGCAAAATTATTAAGATCGAGCATTTTATTTATGAATATTATGTAGCTAAAAGCACATTAAAGCATTTCTAAGAGCCGAATCATGCATAAATTTGCCAGATTAAAACAAAAAATGGCAATGTAAAATATAGAGATACCACATTTCATACATCATTTATTGTGATCATTTATTGTGAATTCTGATTATTATATCATGATTTTCATCCGAGAGCAAAGTTTCGAAATTTTTCATAATTTGACGAACGTGCTAATAATACTTAATTCAATGCTATTTAATCAATAACTTTATCGTTTTTCCTACATCAATTGATATTTCTTGGAAGAGGATTAACTCGAAAATGATAAAATTAGTCCAAGACTGAGAGCACATTCCTGCAATGTATAAATGCAAATTTTTATTAAGAAAATAAGAAATGACGAGGTACGAGATACGCGTAGGCGTGAAGTAATTTTATTCAAAGGAAATAACCATTAGCACTTTTTAATATTACCATTGAAGTATCTAAAATGATTATAAACTTATGCAATTTCAATTCAATTCAGTAAGAAATATTACGTTTGGCATTTTTAATGTAAAACATCAAAGTAGCTCTGTAGTATTTAAAAAAAAAAAAAAAAAAGAAAAAAAAAATCTTAGAAAGTCATATTATAAAGAATATCGATTACTTGAATATTCAAAAGATGTATGTAATAGTAAGAGTTTGGGTAGTTTATTGAATATTAAAAATGAAAGCATTTTTATTAAAAATGTTTTCCAGTCGTGTATAAAAAAATTTTTACGAATCAAAAAATATTCTCAACTTCTTTCATTTGGATTTTTTTTTCTCTTATCGAAAGTAATGAATCTTTTGGAAATACTTTTCCTTAGAAAGTTTTTTAGAATGTATGACTCATAATTTGAGAAATAAAATCTTTCGTTACCTTTTCATGGAGCTCTTAAGATGTAAAAGACAAGCCAATAAATTCTTGTTTTGCGTGTGACTTTTTCAAATGAATATACACGATGCCGATGATAAAAAATCTCTTTTAAAGTTTCAATTTACTCAGAGCATGTTCGAAAATTTTTTTTTTGTTTTTTTTTTTGTTTTTTTTTTTGTTTTAATAAGCATGTATCGTTAACTTAATTGATCTATAACATCTTTGCATGTAGACACAAACATATGTAACGGAGACAAGTCGCGTAGAGCCGGAGAAACCGAACAAAGAGATCATCGCCACTGGAGTTTCGATCAAACAATTGGTAAGATAAATGCTTCTAACTAATTTGTTATAATTTAGTTTATTAAATGTCACTATAACATTGTCGTAGAGCATATCAGTAAGGTTCAAAGAAAAGTAAGATTTTTCGAATTTTTGGAATTTCACGTATATGAATAAAATTATTGGTCCGAAATATTTATGAAAATAGATCACCAAATGACCTTGCTACGGTCGAAAATGTGAAAGATGCGGAAATATAATGAAATTCATTACACTCAATTACGGATTCATTAAAAATTCAATTAATTTTTAATAAAGTGATGATTTGATGTAAGACTTGAGAATGAAAGCGACTTTATATTGTGTCGGCTTAGCCTCAATTATTCAAATAGTTATTATCACATATCTGTCGATAAATTAATATTACCAACGTCTTGGCTTATTTGATTGGAGGATGATATGTTTTGCTAAATCCAAATAATGACTTTCACTGGAATTCCCTTTACTGTTAGCTCTCCAACGACAAATTTACATATTTAAATGAGAGATGCATGAAGCAACCTTGATCTTTTCATTTTTCCATTTTTTTATGTGTGACTAACAGTGTCGTAGCTTCGGGGACGTCTCGAACATGAACGAAGGTGAACGAACGATGCTCGGCGCTTCGGACACCAACAGATTCCAGGAGGTCAGCCATTCTTGTCGAGCATTTTTACTCCCCGTTCTTTTCACTAATTTTTTTCGACTTTATGGAGAATTTTCATTTTATATCAATGACGTAGAAAGCACACAATTACATTCGCGATTCGTTACTTACTACATTCGATGGGCTATTGGTTCCTACAAAATATCTTAGGAACTTTTTATAAAAATCATGTACTCGAATTCAATTTTATTTTATTTAAGGCTTATATGCTTATTATCAAGTGAAATGAATATGGGAAGTGAAAATTTTCTCAATTTTACACTTTAAATATAGGTATTTGTACTTAATTTTCTATATATTTTTTATCAATTTGATGAGCTGATATTGGAACATATTGACATTTATCTTCATTATAAATATACATTAGCCTGTGAAATTATGTAATACATATATATTTTATTTTAGCGCGGTAATGACAGGCTTCCGTAATTTAATTATTATTATTATTATTATTATTATTTTATGTTTTGTTTTTTTTTTTGTCATAAATGAAATTTATTTTTGAGTTGGACAAAAATGCTTAATAAAGAAAAAATGTTAGGATTATCTGAATTCAATTGATTAATGGCAAAACGAATTACGAATTATACGTTATAATTACGTTATAAAATATTGTTCTTTATTTAAAAATAAAAATAATTATATTGTTAAAAGTAAAGCATGCAATCATATTTTTAATTATATGTTTAAACTGACGAATTAAAGATAAACGTGTGTATTTACGATGTAGTCGAGCATTTATAAAATAAAAGTTGATGTAAAATTGAACTCGCTAAATGAACTTTATAGCTGTAAGAACATTTGAAAATCGTTTCATTCCCCATGTCGAAACAGTAAATTCAAATGTCGTTGTTCTTATTATAGCTCAGTCAGATGATACAAAAAATATAAGATCAAAAGATCGCCTGTATAGATAATTTTTGATAAGTAAATAACATTTTATTATAATACTGTTATTGAATTTTATGTTTCATTATTATTTCTCGTTTCATTTTTCTGTTTTTATATTCCAGTATTTGATTTTATTTCTAACTAGTCAAAATTCTACCTCAGAATACAATAATTTACATTCATACACGTATGTAATGAATACTTCTTATTATCTTAAAAGGCAAACAAACTTCTCCTTGAAGTAAAATGAAAACTCTTGTACTATTGTCATAAATAATATGATATTGCTCTGATTAATGGGTAAAAATTTTTTTTTAATATAATAATACATAGAGTAGAGGCAATTAATTCAATTAACAATTGATTATTAAGAAATAATACTATCTAATACTATATAAGTTAAGAGGCATTGCGCTGCTTGAATATTAAATTCTAACGCATAAAATACTTAACGTTGAGCAAAATTATAATTATAATTCCTTTGCCTTATATAAAGAAGGAACAACTGCTTTTGAAATTCTGAGAATGCGCGTAATTAGCTAGTAAAATAAAAATAGATATACTTTTGAATTAACAACACTAACATACGCTGATCTTGCATTAATTTTATCTGTGCCATTTAACGTGGCGCCTGCCTATGGTGGACTAATAAAAAACAAAAAAAAAAAAAAAAAACAAAAAACAAAACATCAAAAATATCAAGTAGAGAGCAAAATCAACGGGCGACTTGAGATTATGCGAGCTGGAGCGCATCAAGTACTTCAATAGTCGCGACATCGTTTTTGCCACTGTTAACGTCAAAGCACTTGTAAGTATTACCGACGCAATGTAAAAATGCTTTCTGTCAGTTATATCGCTTAAGCCCCACAACAGTTACTCACGTTAGGCGTCATTCGATACATCGAGAGAAATGAATGTTTTCTATTTATTTGCCGTCCTTCCCTCGTCATGTCCAATGGTAATTTAACAAATAATAAAGAGCCACTTTGGCTTCATAAACAGCGCGAATATTGTAAATGTAAATTAAATAGAATTGCAAATCTTTTCTACATTTTATTAACAAGTATATTGCGACACAATTGTCATTAATATGATGTGAATTATTTAAGGATTTCAACAATAATATTTCACATAAATGGCAAATCAATTTATCATGTGAAATTCAATAATAAGTTGCAAAGTTTTTCAAACGTAACATTTAGTACGTAAAAGTTATATTAAATATTTAGTGTAAAAATTCTTGAGTGCTTCTAAAATTTTCCTTTCGTGTTTTATTTTTATGTATTTAATTCTATTATTTCTATAAGATTCCTATATAGAAAAAAAAAATAATCACAACACTTTCAATACAATTAGATTAATAAAATACTTCACTTTCACGCAGAAGGGTTTTAAGTCTTTTAAATAACGATTATTAATCTTTCCATTCTCATTTATCTCGAGATTATCGTAAATAGAAATAATTAAAAATACAAATAAATCTATAAGTTTTCCCATAAATATACATCAAATAATATATATATATATTTTTCTTTCTTCTGTTTTTATAATAACATCGTTAAAAGTCTATAATTGTAAAAGTAACTTTTAATTCCTATGCTTTTACTTACTTCAAGAGGAGATTCGTTCAAAAAACTGAAAGCACTCTAGTTGATTGATAATTTAAAATAACAAGAAAATAATTTTGAAACCTTTGAATAAATAATAAAAATTCACCGAATTATAATGAGTCTTTGTCTTGTAAATTTCTTATTATATATTCATTGCATTAACGTTCATTCTATTACCGGAAGTATCTTTACTTTTTATGTATAACAGAATGGATGAATCAACGTCATGCGAGAAATAGAAAAAAGTATGAAATTTTAGAAAAGTGTATAACAAAGATTACCGCAGCTTCAGAAATAAATAAAATTTAAAAAGAAATCGAGTGTTTTAACGAATTTCTCTGTCACGTACAAATACAGTACATCATACGTAAGTAGTTCATCACTAATATTTTTATTATTTTAATTATCGTTAATCGAGTAAGATCCTAAAATGATAAGTCTTTATCGTAATTAATATTTATGAAATTCAATGAGAATGGAAAGTTTCAGAATAATCAGGATATTGTAAATCGTTATAGTAAAGTTCTAGCTCTTAATAAAATAAATTCGAGCGTGAAATCATTAGTCGGATAAAATAATATTTAGTTGATCGTATACCGCTTCACCTATTAAAGACAAAGAAATTTTCCAACAATTTTTTTTTTTTCTTTTTTTTTCTTATTTCTTTTTCTAAATAAACGAATAGCTTTAATAAGCGTTTGGTATAATAAAAGAAGCTTGTGAATTAATGGAAAGTCAAGGAAACGTAATCGCGTATTTAATGGAAAAATTACGTTTACGAAAGAGTTTGCTTAAAAGACGAAGTGAAGTTGTGGACCCTAAATATGGGAAAGGTTTATAGAAAGTGAAGTATTTACAAGTACGTATGAACTTTGCAATAAGAGCGTGGACATGCGAAGTAATGAAAGAAAAAATGAAAAAAAAAGGTAAAAAGCGGTAAGGAAATGGAGAGAGGCGGAGAAAAGTCGAGCGATCGCTACATCCCCGGGGGGATCGAGTTACACACCCGAGCTCACGGGCTCGTTTTCCACAATTTACACCGCAACTAATGTACTTGCAACTTACTCTCTCCTTATCTCCAGGCCTCCCTATTCTCTCGCCCCTCTTTTCCTACTCGATCTGGCGCACCGTGACGTGAGAAACCCAAGTCCCGCTCGCGTGTGCATATGTCCGCTCGTGCATGCGTGTGCGCGCACACGCTCACACGCTCGCGTGCCACTCCGCGGTGAAAATGTCTTCCGAGAGAAAAGGAGCCGTCGTCTACGTTCGTTCCGTTTTCGCAAGCTTTCGACTGAAAATCTGTGCAATAATGAAAATAGACGGTCGGTGTCGCTTTAAGCGTCTACTTTATTTAGAAAGTCCTCGATAAACCTCAGCCTCATGCAAAATCTTACAAAATCTGCCACGCGAGTCCAACTAGGCATTGTCCAAAAGCAGCCAATAAAGGCCTCTCGAACAATAAAAGTCCGAGAACATTGCGATCCCGTACACATGCACACGCGCGAGCTGTCGCGTTTCTTTAACCAGAGAAGCGTACGTAAAAGCGAGATAAAAGAAAAGCAAAAGGAAAACAAAGTACGTATCCACAGCGTACGTCGTTCTGTAACCTGGCGAATTTACGGCGCCCTGATAACGAGAATGATAAGCAGAGCCACTCGCGATCCAGTATCAACGGCCGGGGCTCGCGGGCCTCCATTTTCGAGGTAAGGAAGCAGCTGAGTTCTCGATTTTCAGGAACTGTAAATAAAATATACTCCACCCATCCACCCACTCGACCCGACTCGACTCTTCGTTCGTTCGTTCGTTCGATGCTTTTCCTTGTCTTTGACGGTCGCGCCCGTTCCTCCGTTTTGTGTCTGCCTTTACAACGTCGAGCGCCTTTTAATGAGATAATCCTTTTTTGTTTGTAGCCGTGCTGTGTGTGATGTATTTGTGAATGTAGCGATAAGCATTAGCGGTTAACCTTCGGCCACAAAGTATTTCCGACAGTCGAATATCTCAGTGAAAAATCACTCGCGGTGCATAATTGACGTCGCAAACAGCTTTTGGCCATTTTTGTTATCAATGCACAATACGATATCGTGAGTAAGCCCTTGTCTGTGAGCGTAATATACGTAATATCCGTAAGAACATACGCTTAATTATTCGGTGCATTATTAATTGAAACGAAACTTGGGATTTTTTATTTGACTTGTTTTCATTGATAATGAATCAAGGATATTGGCGCATAGATGTGAACCTTTGTTTCGTTAATACAGCCATAATATTGTTTCACTCTTTTATCGATCGGACAATTTTTCTAGTCGAAAAAAAAAGAGAAAAAAAAAGGAAAAGAAAAAGAAAAAAGAAAAAAGAAAAAGAAAGAAAGAAAGAGCAAAAAAAATTAAAAAATCAATTTAACAAACGATAAATTTGACGTGGACATTGTTCGGATTTCATTGCGATTCCTGCCAATCCGAAATATCAAACTCGCTGAAATCTGAATTATTCTTTAAAAAAACAGAGACACAGAGACAGCATTGTAATATGGATTTAAAATTATTGCTTCAATTTCGTACGAAAGAGTATAAGGCGACATACATTTACATAAGCGCTGCTCTAAAGTATTTTTCGAACGAACAAAGAAGAGAATTCATTCGGTCGCTCTCGACACAATTGCTCGATCCTTTATCGTGGCTTAAAAGCGATTGCGATACACTCGAGCAGCAATAAAAGAAGGAGAAGGAAAACTCGACCGCGTGCACAAGCGCCAGCTTTACACATACGAACTACCGGATTTCGCTTCGACGCGCTGCTCTCGAAATCACGAGTTCGCGTCGAACTTTTACAAAAGAAGAGATAATTCGTTGATCCCTTTGTCGTGCTCGATATCATCAATCTCCAGTAATGGATCGACGTGAAAAACGGACTCCCCCCCCCCCCCCCCCCCCCCCCCCCCCGCCGAAGATAATGCAATCGACTTTAACCACAAACAAGGATCGAACAGTTTCGTAAAGTCCCTCCCATGATCCGCTTCTCCTGCATCCGAGCCTTTCTTTTCTAAGCTTGCTAAGCTTTTTTTTTTCTGCTTGCTGCATGTATGACTTTTATAGCATTCCGCCACTTGATTTATGATGTATACCACGACGCTTTCGACTGTTTACATTTGCCTTCCATTGGGACAAAACGTAAACAGCCCCGGCAATTGGCTGGCGTGTGGTGCTTCGCTTAATGTTGATGCGTGCGCAGATTTGTATTTGATCTGCATTTGGACGCGAATGGTAGTGATGGGAAAGATTTGGACGCTAGACGCAAGTAGCGCACGCATCAATTAATGTATCATGGTATTAATATAAGCTGGAGAAACATTTTAACGAGTCAATGGAGTGGAAAATTATTCGTTCGGCTGTCAAAAGTGAAACCTGCATATTATTGCCAATCATTATTAAAGGCCTAATTATTAGTGAATTATAATATCAATGTCTTAGGCATAATTTGATCGGGCTGTGTAATAAGTCTAATTAAGTGAAATCATTTCGAGCCGCAACTTTACGTTTATTATTATTATTATTATAAATCAAGTGATTCTTCGAATCATTTCCAATTTGCGGGAATAAAAGCTTATTTAATGATTTCAGGCTAGCTCACTTCGCGAAGAATACTTAACAATGTTATGTTATTTAACTTTATGTACATTGATACCCGAGCATCTTGATATCCGATCACTTTACAAACAACAAGATCTATATGATCTTCCAAAGCATTTATAATTGATATATTCATATCTCTTTACTTTTTAAATATGCAACATTAAATAATGTAAATAATATAATTAAATAATAACGCTAATCAGCACATATTATCGTTAATTTTCTCTTGTAATAATCAAAGCAACTCCTTTCAAAATCTACTTAATTCCAAAGATATACTTTATTAGACTTAAAAAAATACTACACGGCTCTTACGTTAATAATTATCTTCCAATATCATGTTTGTTAATCAAGCATTTGTTTCAATTTAATTTACAAATTATGAATTCACGCAAAATCAAATTCACTGATCTATAAAATTTATAATTATGAAGCCTTTTCAAAGCTACATTTAAAATGAGTAAAACAAAAAAAAAAAAAAAAAAAAAAAAAAAAAAAAAAATCAGAATAACGATGTGGCAAATAGCAATGTAAGGTATGTAATACAAAAAGAATAATATTAAATCGTATTATCGCACCTCTGCATCAAAACCATTATTATAACGAATAACTAATGCATAATGATTTACAACTTTGTTATATTATTATAAAATCATGAATAAGCGATGAATGCAAAGGCATAGTTTTTACAAAATTTTAATATAATTAAATTTCTCTTTTTCTATGTATTTAAAATCAATGTTAAATCAGTCACAAATTGGAAGTTTTGAAAATTATTTTATCGATGATTAAAATTTGATTAATCAATAGGACATTATTATATTCTCTTGCACTAACGAATGTTGTCTTGTTTCATCGAACTTATGAAAAATCAATATGTAAATAGAGTAATTAGCACAAAATCTGATTTGTTCACGAGCACCTGCAAATAATCATTATCATTGATGAATTACGATATGAATACTTGTAGTGCACAATTGTACAGCATCGATAAAATAAAAATCGCCGTAATTTGCAATAAAAATATATTTCAATATCGCTTTTTACAGAAATCGAGCTTTAACAAATTTGATGCTCTCAGCAAGAAGTCGTCGCAAGTTCTACATGTCCGATCCGTCGATGCAAGCAAAGTCCAACAGCAATTGAATAATGTAAGTTTCAGTATTATTCCTGTCAATGTTGTTGTGCATCTAATTGGAAAACAAAATCAAAATCCGGTAAGGAAGGCATTAAAAAAAAAAAAAAAAAAAAAATATTGTAAACAAAATACAATAATAAAAATAATAAAAATGCGTGTGTGTGCGTGCTTGTGCGCTCGTATAAATTTAACACAACATATAATTCATACAATGAAGAACATAGAACTTTGTAGACAAAATATTGGAAAAGTAGTAAAGAAGTAAAAGAGATTTCGTAAATATAATTTATGAATCGTCATTGTCTTCCATAAGAATATTGACGCAAATATCGTCAATCGTCACTTCCAAAACTCAAAACTATAAAGCTAACTTGTTACAAGATTGTACAAAGCTTAACCGAACGGCGAAACAAAGTCTTTTAAATACACTAGCTGTATGTACGTATGTACTACACATATTCTATTAATAATGTTTATAAATTAGGAAGCAGCCGTAATGTATAAAAGACGCCAAGGTCTCATATATTTTGACAGGACAAGCGTTAATTATTGAGAATACATACACAGAATATCGTACATTTTTGCTTCGGACTCCCTTCTTTCATCACACATGCCGGAAATACATTTTTGCCGTAACTCGTAAAATACAGATGCCCGTTAAAAGCGTTCGTTCCATCATCTTCCTTCGTGCTCATTGTGAGCAAAAAAGCTTCCTTGGAAACGCTACGGATCGCCGTGGTAAGAAACTTTAACACGAAAATTACGATTTACCTACGACTTGTTTGCACAATGGCGCATTTGAAAAGAGGATAAGTAGCTGTTTATTTGTTTTTTTTTTTTTTTTTTTTTTTTTTTTTTTTTATTGGAAAAATACAGTTATTGTCATTATTATCGTTAAAAATTTTATTGTCGGCTGAGTTTATAAGATGTACCCAAGTAAAATTTTCACTAATTAATAAATAAAAATTGCTAAACTAATTCAATAAACTACATTAAAATACCAATTAAACGACATATATATTTACGTTAATAGTATAAATTAATAATCAATAATGAAGAAAAATAAGAATAAAAATAATGATGAAAATACCTACAAATAAATATTATTGAATTATCAATGATCAAATAATATGTGATAGATTAGTAATGATTGTTGTTAAACTTTTCTATTACAAATTATAAAAAATACACCTTCGATTTATTTATCTCCTGAGAAAGTCATAGCTTTTATTCAGTAATTTGGAAAATTCTATCGGTTAAATTATGGTTTTTTATTATCTCGCGAGGATGAGAAATTATTTGCTTTGATATATTTGATAAAGGACAAGAAATCGATTGATTTTATCTCAGTATAAAAGAGAGCGAATGGGAAAGGTTCGTTGGAAAAATAAAGTCGAATGCTGATTGGGAATATAATTATATAATTTTAATAAATTGTCCTTAAAAATAAAAGGCTTCAATATTAATATTATTTTTTATATAAAATTTTAATCTGCCAATATCGTTCTGTAGTGATACTTTCACACATTATTAATAAAACCATTTAATTTTCTCCTTCATATTCGTACGTTTTAAATTTATTATATATTAATATTTATAGGTTTATTGTTAATGTATTGTTAGTTGTTAAATAACATTTGCAGCGTAATTTTCAATGAGAAATATTTAGTAATGAAGGTTCTGATTGTCCGATATCAATTTATAAATTATTTATATAATAATCTTAGACAAAATATAAATGTACTATTATTATTATTATTATTATTATTATTATTATTATTATTATTATTATTATTATTATATATTTCAATAATTATTCATTTTGATTTATAAAAAAAAAAACTTATTGGAGCTCGCGCTGCTTATTAAATAAAAATATTAATTTTAGGACTATAAAATAATAAAAGTTTCTTATGATAATTAGCCAAGCCTTAATAGGCGAAAATATTATAAAGTAAATACCATTAACGATCATCTCCGAGTAATCTGTTCAACTAAAAAATAATTTATTAAATAAACACTCAAAAATATAATAATTTGCAAATATAGTAATTTATAAATAATACATAATCTCTAATTTATCAATATACTAAGGTATAACTTTTATGCCTAATTATGTCAAATAAAATTTTTTTATTACTTTAAAAAATAAGATAGCAAGAAATTTTTGTAGGATTTATTCCTTAAAATAAGTTATAATAGTAAAATGTAAGAAATATACAGTCATTGAAAAAAAAAAAAATATATATATATATATATATATATATATGTATATATATATATAATCAATTAAACACTCACTTCTAAAGAAGATCTAGAATATATTTTTAATCCACAAAGATATTTATTAAATTTTTGTCCCGTTATAATGAAATGCAATATTTATAAAAGCAATAAAGCTTAACGAAGATAGAGAGTATATGGCGAAGCGCAATAGAAACTAAAATAGCCATAGATACGTATAAAATATTTATGTATTTGACTATCAGACTTAACTATCTAAACACCCGCACTTTTAGCGTAATGAATTCACTTTAGAATGATGATTTAATCTTTTGGTGTAAGTACAGTTAATATGTTTATTAGCTATTTCTAATAGTAGCTGAAGCATAATAACGTAAAAGCGCTGAACTTAAACGATTATAAGGTAAATTTAATTTATATGCTCGTCAACATTTTTGTAAAAAATGTAGTCTTAGATAATTATGCTCTATTAATGAAAATGATAGTTCTAAATTCAGTCTTTTAGCCGTAATTGACTTGTCAATATCTATGAAGAAAACTCGATGAAGCCGTATACGACCAATATAAATATAATTACTCACAAGCTAATAAATACCAACTCTTTACGCGTAGTCGTCAGTCTGACCAATCGTCGTTGTTAGCTTCCTGGAATTCCAGAACGACTTTGTTGTCACAAAATCACTTATGTCCGTTTTTTTAATTATTCTCTCTCTCTCTCTCTCTCTCTCTCTCTCTCTCTCTCTATCTATCTCTATCACTATCCCTTCTCTCGTCTATCTTTCTTGCTATCTTTCTAGGTTGTTTTTCTCATTGCCTCTGTAATTCTAGAAAATGTATTAAAAATAAAAAAAAAAAAGGATCGTCATCGATTTATCGGTCATCATCCAGGGTACCGTTGTGTCGCCAACAAATTCGTGTTCACGCGATTGCAATGTCGCCTTCACCGGTCCCGTTTGAAACTGGTTTCTCCTCAATGCGGCCGAGAATTGCGCCTCTTTAATAAATTTATAATGTCAAGCTCTAACGAGGAGTTTTTCCCGTTGTCGATAGGAAACTTACGTTACGCGCACGACACTTGGATTTACAAATGGGACATTTTTCTTATCTCGATCTGACAAAATTCTTCTTACAATTTGCATCGTGATATTTTATAAATTTAAACAAACCATGTTTAAGCATTATTACATGAATTATTACGAGAGTTATAATTTGTTAGTATAAAAGAAATTTTTATTTCGTTCGTTAAAATTTACGCGATTTTTCGTCCAACGACAATTTGCTCTTTGTTTCTTAGGCCGTACGCGATGGGCAGAAAAGAAAAGAAAAATCCCATTTTTCATTTCACATTTGACGCTTAACACTTGCGTAGAACTTTATTAATAACAAATATTACTATAATGCAATAACGAAGTTGTTTGGGTGGAACATTTAATTATTTTTATCCAAATGACAAAAAATAGCTATAATTTTTTTAGACTTTAGTCTATTGTAAATTAAGAATTATCAGAAGATATTGTACGAAGAAAGTATAAAAAAAAGTAATCGACTTGGACTTATAATTTTTCGTCGATTAGGAATAATCATGTCAACTTAACGTATTTGTTTACAATTTATAGGATTAAAGATATCTTCTATCATTGAAATCGCCGCTGCCTTGGCTTATTATCAACAATACATTTCCTAATACACTCACGTTAAACTTATCATTAACATAAAATTCAAACACATTAAGAAATCCATAATAATTCATATATATATATATATATATATATGTTTTTATAAATTACCAATTAAATAGCCCAATTAATCGCTCATCCTAGGAAAGTATCGCAACTTCTTTTATATTTCATTTCGGATAAAAATGATCAAATTTAACAATATCGATACGATTGTTTACACAATTTAAACCTCCGGCCTAACATTCCATTTGAATAATATAAGCATTATATTTAAGAATATAAATTATAATATAAATATCCCAATTAGTCTCAATTTATTTAAACACTACGTAATTTCCACGAATATGCAAAGTGAAGCTGGGAGATAATAAATAAATTCCGAAAATTATCGAACATTATGAATAGTTTTGATAATCAGGCTAATTTATTAGTTGTCGATTGTGATTTTGAAGAGAAAGGGAAAAGTTAAGATAAGCATAAAACTCGGGGAGAAAAACAGTACAACAAACGATGGGCGGGCGAAAACGTTGTTGAGGCAGGTTTACATTTGGCCAACCGTTAGAAAACAATCGAAATTGCAAAACAGCTCAACGTATTGTCGGGCTTGCGAACCATTCTAGTTTCTTTTTTGCATTTTTTTTTGTTTTTGTTTTTGTTTTTTGTTTTTGTCTTTTTTTTCTTTTTTTTTTTTGGTTTTTGAATAACAGAATAAGAAGCAACAACAACAACAAAACCCTGTAAATAATGTTAATGATCGGCTTGAAAAGGGGCCGGCTTCGTTAAATGCCAATCGGCAAAGGATCTCTCTATCCAACGGCTCGCGAGCGCACACAAGAAAGTACAAGCGAGGCAGCTGTTAATGAATTAAACGAATGTGTCGACAGGTGGGCCAGAACGGAGACGTGAACCCGAATTGCCGCAGTTGCGGCAAGGTCGTCTTCCAAATGGAGCAGACGAAGGCCGAGGGTCTCGTCTGGCACAAGAACTGCTTCCGGTGCGTGCAATGCGGCAAGCAGCTCAACGTCGACAATTACGAGAGCCACGAGGCGACACTCTACTGCAAGCCCCACTTCAAGGAGCTTTTCCAGCCGAAGCCGGTCGAGGAGACCGATCAGCCCAGTGAGTTACACGTTACTCCCACATTCCCCCTATCGTTCCCTTACCCACTCACAGTGCGGTACCTCTACGTAGCTGCACCAACGTGGCCGTTCCGTTCCACCCGTGGGCTTTTTACACCCAGCCGAACCACCCGAACCACCCGAACCACCCGAACCACCCGAACCACCCGAACCACACGAACCACACGAACCACTCACCACCCAACCCCGGAAGATATGGATTTATATTTCTAGTATTTCTAGGAAGCCAAGGATATTGACCAAGGCTCGGCTAATAATGGCACTTCCTTTCAAATCCATTAACTTGGCCATTGGTCGGTTATTAGTTGTATCGTCAATGCCAAGAGCATCTCGAACAATCGCGATTTCTGTAATTATTTTTCTTCTCATGCTCTGCCGGTTTCTTACCAGAAGATACGTTTTTCATCGCGAGCCAATCGATTTTATTATTAAAAATCGAGTTAAGATATCAAAAGTAGTTTCTCGGCATTAAGCGCGAGTACAGTTTGAACGAGGGGCGCGTATTCGTTTTGCTTGAACGTTATTCGAGCGCATCCATCGTAATTATAGATAATCGCATAACCCGACAGTTGTGAATGTATAATAACGCGAGAGGGACAATGGCTTCCCTTCATCAACCTTCATGTTCATAAATAAGAATAAAATAATTAACCATTTGTATTATTAAAAAAAAAATCACGGATGTCTTTTCATTGGTAATAAGGCCTTTGGTTGTTTGTTTATAAGATTTGTTCGACAAGTGCGGTTGCTGAAATATTAGCAATTTGAATAAGCATGCTTGCAAGGTCTTGAAGTTTTATAAGTAATTTACAAGGATTATCGAATAATTGGCAAAATATTTGAAAATGTAGCATCGTTCGCGTATGGGCGGATCTATGTGTCTGCCAATAAAATCTGACCCACATTGTAGCAGTGAATTTTCATTTTGTTACAATACATCGAGAATTCTTTCATTCCCATAAAATGTTGAAGCTACTTGAAAGCGCTACTCGATGCATAAAAACTTAAATTATCTATTTTACCTAAATATAATATTTTATTTCTAACGGGTAAATATAATGTACCCGCCGAATGTAAAAGTTTCAGCTCTATTGAACGGAATTTCTGTGGCAAGAATTTTAATGGCTCGCCACTACTGCATCATATGTTAACCATTTTATTTAAATTTATGTATTTTTAATGTTTATACGTCTACTTTAGAAATTCCAATCCTATTTCTAGGATGTAGAAAAGTCAATTTTAACTCGTCGTTTTTCGAACTTTTAATAAAAAATATATCTCGCTCCTCGTCATATCTTTTTTAGCCTCGACGCTTTCCTAGAAAAATCCATTAGCATATAATGCGCTGTTGCATAATCAATTTTATTAAGCCTCCGAGGCGTATTTAATTACTTACTTTATATTTAAAAAATTAAGTATATATGTATTGCATCGCTCGACTTTATAGCTTTTCGCCGGTATTTAAGTATCATATTCATAATATATGATAATATCTGGCTTTAAATTTTTATTAATCCTTCAAATTAAATTTATAATTCCGATGCTTTGAAGCGACCTAATAAAGCAATTTTCAACAATAATATTAATTGCTTATTCAATTTATCTATCCTTAATTATCTATTATCGATAATTACCGACTCTTACGTTTATCTCAATGCTTAACGAGCGCTTTTTCGATAATAAATTCAACATTGCTCTATCTTGCGTATGGAATAATTTAAATATTCTTGAGCCTCCATATGCCATGATCCTTGAACTTTGGCAATGTTCTAATGAAACTTAAAATTTTTTATTGGCTATTTACCTTATTCTTGGAGCAAGCACTACAATGCAAGAATCTCCTCTTTAGAATGCGCTCTAAAGCTCTCGACCCAGATCTTTCACTTCCGTCAATAAGCATAAAATGTTTTGAATTATGCCTTAGCTTCGAGAAACACATCACATACATTGGCCGCGGGATATTACTGGGAGAGACAAGATTATGTAAAAATGGAACTCTATCCGCGATGGCTGCCAATTTATTTTCATCATTTAAAAATCCGCCCTTGGCATTGCGATGCTCAAGTAAAAATCGAAAATTATTTTTACCTTACTTTTTCATATGATAATAATCATAGTTTGTAGATGATATATGTTTATAGATAAGTGTCGAAAAATACATTTGTATGATGAAAATGTTGACTCGAGCAAACATTAATAACTCGATAATTAACAAGTAGAGATGATTATCATTCTAATACACAATTTGTATTTTTTGCTTTTAATAAAATGGTTGCTCAAGTTATATATATATATATATATATATAGTATCATTGTGCAATTTACTCAAACCTATAATACATTTTCATAATACACGAGAAATGTAAATTAGGCCATTAATGACGGATTTAGTGAATTGACGAAACATGCATAATAAATATTGTGAATTCGTTCTAGTGCCTCAAAAGCCAGAAATGATCATACGCGAGAACCAGCCTAAAGAATTGCCACCTGACGTGGTCAGAGGTAAATCCTCGAGTGGCAAACTGTCATTTTACATGGTTGTTTTTATAATTTTTTTGGTTTTAATGTGAATATTTTTTTAATAACGAACTACTTATATTCCAACGATGAGTTTGCTCTTTTACATTTAATAACTTTGCCTAATTGTCAATTTTATTTTTCGGCATTAGTCAAAAGCTTAGAGAAATTTTTGTTTTGAATATTATTTGGAAATATCATTTAAAAAGTTAAACCAAGTAGCCTACATAATGTTGTTCTTACTCACTCGATACGGGTTACTTAGTTTATTTACTTACTTACTTAGAGCGTTAATTAAATAATTAAAACCCATAGAATTAATGTAATTCAGCAATATGATTAACACAAGCTAACAGTTTGGTGAGTAAATCGTTAATTTTCATGTTTAACAAAATGTTTGGCTTTTAAATTTTGTTTTTGATGTGCGAAAATTAACAACAATTCTAATAAAATAACTAAATATCGATCGGTAAATATTAAGGAAGTAATGTTCGATAATAATAGTTGTATGAATTAAATTAAATAGACAAACATTGTTTTTTCTCTGCTTTATACAACTAAAATTTAAACGATTAACAATATGTTTGGTCGTGAATTTTACCAGAGAGAAAGAGTTGTATAATCATATTGAGATTTTGTTGATATATGTAGATTGTAGAGTATTATCGTGCCAAAATATTATCATCTAGTAAGAGACTCTTTCGATAAATGATCTATGAATTATCATAGAACGAGAAAAATCCCTTCCATTAAATTCCTATACTGTAAATAATGGGCTTTTCCAGTAATAGAAATATTCAGATTAACAGTGTACGAAACTTAGATTGTAAAAACAATCTTCAAATTAATATTGGAAATTTCATATAGAATATATTAAAGTATATGATAAAGAAAACATTCGCCCATAGATTCTCGGCATAAAATTTTACAATGTACTACACCAGATTTTCAAGTAATCAATCGTTCTTTAACATCAATGCAACACTCAATTAACTATACAACGAATGCAATTTAACAAATCCAATCATAATGCAAAGTGAAATTAGTGCCACATTAATAAGCAAAGTTTTTCCTGTGCACATGAACTAAAAAGACAAAGCCTTTTTTTATATAGGGAAAAAGCATAGGAGCCTTACATTCGCAAATCCAACACTTATCATCTTGATTTTTAGCATCGGACAAACCAGATCTCGGACTCGAGGAGTTATCCTCGCTGAATGTCAAGTCTCGCTTCCAGGTCTTCGAGAAGGCAAATGAGACGACGAATGACATCGAGAGATCGCCCTCGCAGATCGCAGTGAAGAGGTCTCCCAGCATACTCAGCAAATTGGCCAAGTAAGTGCGATTATGAAATAAGGTGAATTGCCCCGTTGCTCCTGTCGACTCAATTGTCTCTCGCTGTCTCCTTTGAGGGAAGGATCGCTCGGCTCTTAAAAATACATTCGGCGACTCGTTACGGAAATCGAAGCATACGCTTCTACTGACATTAATTAATATTAAAGGAATTTTTACTAGCTTTTCATGTACTTTATATACATATTTGTTCATACAGAATTTAAAAGAATTAATTCGAAATAATATTTATATTTGATAAAGTTCTATTTAATCAACATTCGTCCTCGTATTACATATTATGTTCTGCTGAAATTGTTCCGATTTCTAAAAATAAATATACAATGTTAGCTTAATCAATTAATCACTTGAATTTTGTCTTAATCTTATTATTATTCAATCATATATTTTCAATTATCGCGACATATTTATTACGTAGTATTTCCATATTCAGTAACGAAAGCAACTTCTGCATCATAAATATATATATATATATATATATATATATATATATATATATAAAATTATTTTTATTATAGGATTAAATTATATAGTATTATAATAAAATTATTTCCATTTAGATTCCAAGCGAAAGGAATGGATATTGGCGTAGCAGACGAATCTCTCAACGGAATTCCCTATGAAGAATCAAGCGAGAGTGAAGAAGAAATTGACGAAGAAGAATCGGAAGGTATGTATAATTGATTATAATTTATAGCCAAATTGCTTTACCTTTCATTGTGGCTAAAAGCATAATAATACTTTTATTTAAATCAGTATAGTACTTAAAACGCGGAAATAACATTCGTTAACAAAAGAAACGTATCGCGTAACGAGATTTCGGAATAATAGCAAAATATAAATGTAACCCAGTTATTATTGGAAATATTTATTAATCTATAACATTACCACGATTATGATAAATTAATATTTGTAATGGGCGGATAATTTATATTGATAATAGAACTAATAATAAGTTGATCTACTCCAGTATTAAATACATTTATAAAATAAAAGATTACCATAAAATTTTGACTAAATATACTAAATAATGTTAAAGGAATAGACAAATTACTGGAAAAGAATATTATAATATAGAGAACGTGATATGATAATGGAAACGTATACAATTGCAGTTTTTGTAACTATATGAAAACTTTTAATTCATATGCATTATATATATATATATATATATATATATTTAATAAAATATTATTAATTTGAATATGGGCATATTTTACGAGAATATAAAAATATATAACCTGAAAACTATAATTATTTAAAAAATATATAATATTACTTTTACATCTTATCTTGATTCTTAAATATTATTGCAACAATGTATGCACAACTGGACACAATTTGTCGTTTAATTTTCACAATGAGAAGTAAAAGAAATTGTAAAAATCCATATAATCCATGTAAAGCATGTAAATTTTTTTTTTAATTTTGTATTAAAGGAGCTCAACACAAATAGATTTCATAATAAAAATATAAAATAATTAAATATATGTGTTTATGATTATGACAAATTTTATATTTATAAATTTTCGACTAACTTTTCATAAAAAAATGTTAATCGTTTTGTATACGATTGATGTATTTCAAACAAGTCATTTTGTGAAATGGCTTTTCATAAATTTTATAATAAATCCATTAATAAAGAATTTCTCAACTTACTGTATAAAATTAATTTAAATTTTAAACTGGAAAAAAATGTTTTTTATTTTTTTTCGAATTTTAGTTATATTACGCCGTAACTCGACAAAAGTCGACGAGATAATGAAAAATATTGTTAAATAAATACTACGATCTACAAATATAAAATATTTTTATTGACATTATCGTTACAGTTTTTTCACAAATATATCGACACATTTCAAATAAAATAATCCGCTATTACTTAATTTTAATACATTTTCCGAATGGAAATGCATAATATGTTTGTATCACAAGTCCATCTTATGTATATAAATTTACTATGTTGATTTTTAATTAATTAGCCAATTAATTATTATTTATAATCTGTGCTTAAATAACTAAACCAATGAAAATTATTATAGACTAATGTAATATTTATCGTTGATAGTTATTTTAATGTATTTTATAAATAAATTCATTTGGAAATAAGCAATAGCATTAAAATGTCACGTTTGCATAATTAAGAATCATAATTAACTTTCCAAGTGATTAAAAATTATCGAGCTTAGCCGTACATATATTGTTGCAAAGAAATATTCGATGTAATATTATTTTCCAACTTCGCGCGTAAACAAATTATACTCGAGTGTCGTGTAAATTTTTAGTCGCATAAAATGATTTTCAAGGAAGCTAATAAATCAGGCTGATTCACACCTTCAGTGCGACACGTAATCGCGATTTATGATGCAGCAAATAACGAAAAATTATTTGTTAGATCTAGAAAGCTTTTGAAGTTACGGGCACAAATACTTCTCGTGCCATAATTCAGTCAAATAAGCGTTATTGATTCTATTTTCGCATCACCGCGTCAATCTCACTTAAATATTCCCTCGGCCGTGCACGCAATTCCACTATCAATTGCACGTTTTCTAAAATTATTGCGCATCCGACTCGGCAGACGCTTAAATTCAATGGACCGAGCTAAAGGTGCCTTGTCCAAGCGCAGAACGTAATAATTCGCTACAACTTAGCGGCAAATTTCATCGCTTAAGCAGAGAGGCAGAAGGGTATGTAAAAGCATTGAGAGATTAAAATGATTCAAGGTCTTGTTGTTGCAGACTTGGAGGACGGGAACATCGTGAAGGCGAAGAGGGGCAACCGCGAGAGGCCGATAAGTTTCTCGAAGATGGACGACATAAAGAATCGATGGGAGACGACGAGCCAACAAGGAAAGCGCGAGACTCAACGCGAGGCTCGTAAGGAGGAGATCGCCGGCATTCGCTCGCGTCTCTTCATGGTGAGGACAGTTTTTCTTTCGTTCGAATCCCACATTTATTTTATAAAGGGTCTCCGAGCCAATCGATTTTTCCCATTCTTCACCCATAGGTAGATAGAATATGTATTTGGCACTTTGTGGATCTGGTGGTATCGTTCTTAATACTCCATCCACAGCGTTTGTCGAATCACAAAACTTCCCTATGTACTAATATCGACAATTTATAGGAATAAAAATGTACTTTCAAGCTTAAATTTAACTGGTGTGCCCATAAAGCATTGTTATAAAAGTTATAAACATTTAGATTCGTATGTTAAACCATTTGTCATTTCATGTCACTATTTCTTACCATTATGGAGCAATTATATTATATATTTTTGTAAAATTTAGATGAAATTACTAAATTAAGTTGTAAAATACACGAATGATAAAGTGAAGTATATATTTCGCCACCGAAATACTTCTCCGTCGTAGTAAAATTCGTAATCATACGGCTAAGTTGATTATTTTGGTAATTACGTTTTCATTATGAATTTTCACTCGATATTTTTACTCTTTACGAGCCGTTTAATATTAGTACTTCTATTTGTTTTTTTTGTTTTTGTTTGATTTTTTTTTTTTTTTTTTTTTGTACAGTGTAAGATATTTTTTGGCTCTCTGCTCTGCTTCATTTATTCAATCGTAAATCGAAAAATTAACGTTTATAAAATATCTTAAAATTTTTTTAGATTCATTCAGTTGTAATGTGACAAAGCAATATTTCTTTTGAATAATAAAAGTTTCAATTTATCATTAATCACAGTCTTAGTTACAGTTTATGTGAAATCTTTGTCAGATATATATTTATTATGCCGCTTGAAAAGCTTTTTTTGTTCGTAATGCTCATTTAATTCGTCGTCGTACTACGCACAATGTCGTCATGTTTCGATGTATTTAAAAAATTCTTGTCAATATTTTTATAACTTCAAATAATACTCTAATCTATAATAATATTACGTCGTTGAAAAATAGCCATTGATGTATATCAATTTCAAAAGCTAAGAAAAATTTAAGACATTTAAAAAACGAAAAGAAAAACAGAAACTCAATCACCATTACGGATATACTAAGGATATACGTAAAATGAAGTTCCAACAGAAAAAAAATAATAATAATAATAAAATTTAATGAATAAAAAATGAATTAAAAGTATTTTAATAAAATATTTCTTTGTAATATATGTACTTTGTTTCGTTTCCTTTAATGTTATTAATTAAGAGAAAAGAAAATGAAGCAACGTAGTGTATAAATACCAGAAAAGCTCTCGGCATCCATTCATTCGCCAGCTCATTGAATGGTTTAAAGGAAAACAAATCCGTAATACTCAAGTAAGATAATCAGGCTTTGAGCTCAAAGCCTCTGCTTATATCAGGGAATATCGCGGAAATAGATTTCTAAAAGCTCGCACGCTCATTACAGTCATCCAAACGCAGTCTGACCCAGAAACATAGAAAGACAAAGAGACATAATGACAGAAAGAGACTTCGACAGAGAGAGAGAGAGAGAGAGAGAGAAAGACAGCTTTATTGCTACAGTAGAGAATTTAAAATCTAACTTGTACGTGTTCCATTGGTATATCGACTTTTTCCAATGTTACACATTTCAAGGCTAATATAATTTTTATATTAAGTAAACTTATCATAATGTACATGTTTATCAAAGAATTTTGCATCTTAGATTTATAAATTATTAGCTTCAGTTGTTGATTTATTATTAAAGTTTATGCCTCTCAATAATGTACTCATTGTCTTTGAACATTAGAACTTAATTACTTGAATAGATACTTAACTTACAATTATACCTAATTTTTATTTGAAAATTACAAAATATATTTTTAGTGCACTTATTGAATTGTATTAAAATATAATATTGCCAATGAAGAAAGAAACTCCATTATTATATACGTTTTTGATTAAATCTGCTTAGAGTTTGAACGATAGTTTTATCCGGAACTTAGATACGCATCTTAAAATGTAAAAAAAAAATTTACTTATATAATCGAACGATACTTTCTTGCATTTGTAAAAGTATTTGTACGGTGATAAGAATACGTAGCATACGGCTTGGAAAAGATGGCTCGGTTTGTCTTATTTAAGATTTAATAATCATTAAAAGTGTCACTGACGTACGATAATTTTATAAATAAATTTTTAATCTAAAATCAATTACTACTTCGCCATTTTCATTCGCTTAAAGATTAAAGAAAGATAGTGAAAATGAAAGACAGTGAAACGAAATCTCGCGATGGATAAAAACATTATCTATAATCGAACGTTAATGCACTCAAGTTGGATATTGCTTTAATAGCTATAAAAGTATGAAGTTTTTGTAAAATGTCAATTGCCGGCACGCGATGATGGGCAAAGACCGTAAGGAAAGTTCTCAATTTTATTTATATTCACAATTGCGTTGGCAAAAGTTAAGCCAAAGATAATAACAAGCATGGCCTTCCGTGACTACACAACGAGACACGTTCAAATTTATTAAAAGATATTCGCTCGATTACCCCTCGCCCCCACCCCCGGCCCACAAACCCTCGCCAACCCAACCCCAAGCGCATCCTTTTGATCGAGCAAAATGCCATCGATTAATTATCCAGCCAACAACGCGACACCGTCCACATTATTATTGCCCGACTAAATTTACAAGAAGCTAATGAACGTAGACACTGACGAATCCAGCTATGCGCTAAGCGTCGCTACGTCAGCGCCCGAAACGCGGACAACAAAAGAAGCAAAAGCCAAGATAGAGTAGGGCACGAATAACCCAATTCCGCGCATTGACTCACGGCTAACGTATTTTTGGGTCAAACAGGGCAAGCAAGGCAAGATGAAGGAGCTGTACCAGCAGGCAGTGGCGGACAGCGAGCGGGTGATGAAAATAAACGCCGCGGAAGAGATCCAGCACGCGACGAACGCGCGCTCGATCAAGGAGCGGTTCGAGCGCGGGGAGCCGATCGCCGCGACGAGCGACGAGGAGCTGGAGGCCGGAGCACCGAAGCCGAGGGTCGAGAAGCCCGACGAGGAGATACTCGCAGCCGGTACAAATATCTCCCGCCTTAACCGTACCCACCAACACCAACATCAACATCATCGCCATCGCCATAGCCATAGCCATCATACCCCCCCCCCCTATCCCACCCCATCCCGCCATCATCTATCATCCCTCTAAGTGCAAGTTTGGAGCTGCGCGGTTCGAGCGGCTCCGTGGCTATGAGCTCCAAGGGCCCTTTGGGGTGTGCATTCGTAGCACGATCGAGTAGCTTTTATCCCTAGCTAGCATCCCCGGGTTCGATGTCGAATGAGCTTGCAAGGCGGTGCGTACGTAGAGTCTCGCTCGACCACGTCGACAGACCTTCGGTTTACCGCGGCGGCCTCTCGGATTCCTAAATCTCCTAAATTCTGCGAATAAATTCGGCACATGCAATTCGGCGGGACAATGTCGCGCTGTCTGTGCGCGCTCGTTAAAATCCACGTTTCTATCGGTTATCGCGTTATGCTGATGGGAGAGCGCGGACTTATTCAATGATCCCCAAGCTCGGGTTTATGCCAGTCTCGAGAGGATAAATTACTTATTCATTGGCTAAGTATGTTCGATGCCGAGTCCATGTGGTCCGTGCGTCTTCGGCGGAGGCGCGTTTCCACGATTTTTTTTTTAGTGTAAGGATTATGCAGCTGTTGAACAAGCATGGCATAACATTTATGCCTTTTATTTGGAGTTGAATTTGAATTCAAAGTTTTAAAGTAGAATTATTTTGCAAAATAAAAAATTATAGCCCGATTGTTTTATAAAGATGAATTGTCAATGTCGTCACGATATTATTTAAAGTCATCTCGGATGTCCAAATTGAGATTGTATTATTATCTGCAATATGCAATACATTGGAAATTCTAGTAATTTAGCACATTACAAATGATGAGAAAAAAATCTCAACTCTTACTTAATCCATCTACTTTCATTAAATTATTATTGAATCATGAGAAAGATATGGTGTAAGTAATTTATTTAATCCTCGCAATACTCGAGATATTGCCGTTGGCAGAAATAGAAGCCTCCATTTATCCAAAAATTATACTGCTAAAGTAAAAAGTTTTTCTCGAGGCAATTCTAGTCGCATGAGCACATATTTTATTGACAAATATTTGAATAATATTAATTTAACAGCAATTAGAGTAAAATATAACTTAATTTTTACATTCCAAGTGGTATTATTTTGTCGTAAGGGATCGTAATAACGGCAATCATACCGTAACTCTGCATAATCTTAAGGAATGACAATGAATCTTAGAGATGCGTGACAAATGCCATTTCTCCATAGTAAATAAGAGACTAAGAAACTCTAAACATATGATTATTCATAGTCATATCGCGATCACTTAATTTAGAAAAAATTAAGGGTACGGTATTTTTAGCTCACTTATAGATAACTATTCTCTCGTCCTCGATACGATAAGCGTTAAATACGCATTCCGAATTCGCATTGAAGAAGTTCTTAACGCTTTTTCACTTCGGACCAACGTATAATATAACTATTGAAATTTATCGATTTATAAAAGCAATTAATTCTTACGAAATTTATTGATATAACATAGATTTTGCGAGACAACAAGTATCTTAATTGTCCGGAATTGCAATTATTGTTAATTCAATTTGTTTACATTCCATTAATTGTTCTTATTACGCGAAGCAAATTTATTTTAATAAGTATATAAAATAAAGTCCGAGATGATATATTTTGACTTGCCGTTGGATTTATTAAAATAGTTTTTTTTTTTTTTTTAATTTGAATAGCCAAGATAGTAAATGTATTTTAGTAAATGGCACAAATTGCTATTCTAAAGTCCTGTTGATAAAAAGTAACGAATAGTTTTAGATTATCGATTGTTATTGTTATTGGAAAAGTGTGAGTCGAAACAGAAATTATATCACAATCTAAGGCTGATGTAATGGGTAAGTAATAAAAAATATTAATAAATGGCATCTAAAGTATGAGGACCACTCGCCATTATTATGTTAATGTTTATCTAATGGCATAATCGCCAATTAATTATTCACGAATGCAAAACATTTTTAATATTCTGCGATTAACTGTAAACAAGTAATATTAAGTAAGTCTGCTTTTAAATGGATTTTTTATTTTTGTACAAAAAGCAATTGATTCTTGTTCGAAATCAAATATTAGTCGTCATTCTCTTATTTAAAGTCACAGAAATGCCAATATTCTAATAACTCTGCTATATATTTATTTATATAAAATAGTAGCATTTATGTAATTAAACTTCAAATTGATTTATCTACAATTACATATTCTACGCGGATCAAAATTATTATACAGTAGCATTAAAAATGAAATACTGGTAATGTATTACGTAATTTACTTACTAATAAACTCTTTTCTTACCTTTCTTTTGCAAATGTGCATCGATTGCAATTATATAAACATTTTTGTGTATATAAACTTTAGGCCCTTCAATTAAATATGGCGCGCTTAAATATACGTAATGAAAAATAGAAAAAAAAAAAAATCTTTTCATAGTAGTTTAATAGAAATAAGTTTAATAGAAACTCACAAATTGTTGTCTGTCAACTGTCAAATTGTTTAACGGTGTGTGCTAATCAATAGTGATACGGCTCATTCGTCTCATTGAATATTCATAGATTTAAAACAAATATTTTTAAACAATCGTTTTATGCACACAAGTCACTTTAAATATTGACCTATAATTTTTTTTCTGAAAATAAAAACTGAATTTACGTTTGATTTTGATCTACTTTTGATTTTATAAATTTACGTTATACGTTATACGTATTTTTTAATATTTGAAATAAACTTTTTCATCTAAGAGATGGAATTACGCATCAATAAATGAGAATATCCGAATGAATGCGCTTTAATAGAACAAAATATCGACTATAATATATTATTGATCATTTGATACATATCGATCGGTGCAATTGAAAAGCATTCAAACGCTTAATTTTTTATACATCATAGATGATATTATTATTCATGATAATAGAAGAAACGTGAGATAACGTATAAGATATGGATAACAGCCGAAAATGTAAATAAATATAAAATTGTTCGACTCGTTGTGCTTCTAATACAAGCAGATTAAAATGAAATTTGATGTATATTTTGATAACGTTAATGCTAATAGGGAATTTTTTTATATCAATAATCAGCTCGAATAAAGATCATTCATCATCCGATTATTATTTTTACATTACATTATAATTTACTATTGCACTTACTATATTTAGAATTCGAGATACATCCTACGATCCGTGTAACATACATTTTATGTGAGCTTTCTAAATTTTTTTCCCCGACTTGACCTCATAATCCTGTTTCGCTCGCTTTTCTAATCATTCATATTAATCCGAACCTTACATTCCTTCCGTTATTGCGATAAAAAATTTTAGCCCTACAACTGTTGTATAATACTTTTGACTCGAAAACTTAAAAAATTACTTTTAAAATAAAAGAAATGTCCATGACAAGCGGTGTCGATCAAATGAATTTTAAGAGGCACCTTATCTTTACGTATAGAATGACATTATAAATGAGAAACATTTTGCATTCGTTATGTCTCCAAACCTCTAATGCTACGTTCCTACTTATGGAAGAAAAAAGTAAGAGTTGATGTTAAGAAGCATATCGCACGACGCGATGATACACGCGCGCACGCAGGCTGGCAAAAGTTCGGAGCATGCCAGCATAATTTTTCAAAACTTTCCAACAAAATATTTCTGGTACAATTCAATTATTTAATGCAAAAACAAAAATTGCTCGCAAAATCTATACGTCATCTTGTCTTAAGAGGATGCCCGTTAACAACCGACACGCGGTTCTGCTAAATACATTATTAATCACGTGACGTTGAGCTCCGTGTACATCCAGCGATACGAGAAAATACGAGAAAATACTACCACTTTGATGTTTTATCTAAGGTAATATCCGCTATAAAGCAATAAAGTTCTAGCGCAATAAACGACTGCTCATACACGGGGTATAAATGTCCAAGCTGCAATAACGATTTAAGGCTGCTCTCCCAAGCACATTCGCCGGCTGATTGTTCATTTTCGTTAAAAGTAGAGCGAAGGGACGACGCGCGCCCATGCCCTTGAGCTGTTTTTATCAATCGCCTAGGTGGTACTCCGATTGTGTAAGGAAGCAGCTGGTGGAGTGAGAGGGGCCCATTAATCGCAGTGGCCACGTTTGCCTTTCACAGGGATCAGTCGGAAGTCGCGCTCGCTATTTCTGGAGCTGGACGCGACCGCGGCGAAGACTGGAAGGCCGGTGACGCCCAGCAACCAGGGCAGCAAGGCACCGACGGAGGCGCCCAGGCGAGCGCGCGACGTGAGTAAACAGCCATTACTTTTTGCGACTGCGCCGCGAGCCTCGGCTGTACCGAGACGCGCAAAAAATTTGCGATTATCCAAGTGCGGGACATCGCCGCTGCCACGCACTAATCTCCCCCCCCCCCTCTCTCTCTCCCTCTCTCCCCCTTTCTCGCTCTCTCTCTCTCTCTCTCTCTCTCTCTCTCTCTCTCTCTGTCTGTCTTTCCCCTTAGCGCAATTACCCCACCCGCTCACCTCCCCCGGCCATAGTCCGCCCGGCACTCCTCAAGATACCGCTGCCACCCCCTACCACGGCCACATGCCCGTGATTAGGCGAGATTGATGTGTCTGAGCGCCAGGCGTTTTTCCCCATTTTTACTCGGAATCCTTCTGCGACCAACTTTCTCTTATTTATACATACGCCGTTTATGCTATTGGCATGTACGGTATGTCGTTTATGTATGCATATTGGAAAATATCGGAGGAGACTAAAGCCTGTTAGCCTTGCTCCAACCTTATAATTAGATTTTTATAAGGGAATTCGATAAGACGCGGAAGGCATTTTATAGTCGTATAATAAGCAAAATACGGCCAACTCTCGCATTCGTTTGCCAGAGACGCGGTGAAAATTGTTGTCGGAGAAAATTTGAGAGAAACATTTTAACGCGCAACGCTCGGATGTTACTTTAGTTTAGCTCGTTAATCCTCAATAATAAAACGATTAAATCGAAGTAATGAACTATCGAGCATTTTAGCCGGTTAAAGACGATAGTACGAGATTATCGTCTATAATAAAGTTGTACGAGCTTTCCAAAAGGACTTTATTTTTAAAATATTTTGTAAATTATTGTTTGCGTTTAATGGCAAGTACGAGTAAATTTATTGCTCCGCTAAACGTTAAAAGTACGTTAATTTAAATTCCTTTCAATTAGCAGCTCGGGAACTTTCTTAAAAAAAAAAAAAAAAAAAAAAAAAAAAAAAAAAAAAAAAAAAAATAAAGGAAAGAAAGAAAAAGAAGAAGAAGAAGAAGACAAACGGTAATTTTTAACTGCTGCGGCCGCTAGTCGAATGAAACATTTTGCCTTAAAAGTTAGAAAAAGGTTTGATAGAGGTTTGAAACAATTTTTGCAACCATTCACCTAATAATCGCGCGTTTCAGTTACTTTAATTATTTTGCAATGTCGCCTTTTTCTTTTTACGAAAACTCGAAAGACAAATAAGAGTAAATGTAAGATTTAGCCTTGGTGAATCATTAAGAAACACAGGCTCAGCTCGAGCTCACGGCCAATCGCTAAAATCGAACGGCGCAAACGATACAAAAACAACAACAACAACAACAACAACAAACAAAAAAAAGACAATAAATAAACCAATAGGCGTTCATGGGCCGGCAAGTCTCGGAGGACGTAGTGCGCAGCACCGACACCACGGAGGAGGTGCAGGTCGACAACTCCGAACTGTCAAATAAGTTTAAGTTCTTCGAGAGCTACAGGGAGCCAGAGAAGATGCGCAAGCAGTTCCGGATCACACCGCCACGAGACGGACAAGTCAAGGTTCGCTCGTTTGCTCCCTCCCGGGAAACGTCCTGCTTTTCACTACAATAACATCATTTCTAGTGGTTCCTCGCTCTTATATACGATCGATTCGCTTTTACAGCTTTTTTTTTTTAAAAAGACGTAGGCGCGCGTTTGATTCCGCATGATATTAACTTCCGTTGTGATTCCTTTTACCGCTAGCCTTTCGCGCAGCCATCTTTACATTACAATTAATTCTTAACATTTGTAATTGAAGCCAATTACATAAATCATATAACAATCCTAATAAATCCAATGGTTTGCTATGATATGTCGAAGCGTCCAAGTCCAACGACATTAAATATAATTTCTAATATACTTTGAAGATTATTATACCGATGCTATCGACAATAACCTTTATTAACATTATATAAACACACGCGCACACGTGCACACTTATTTATTTCTATACTAGAAATGATGTTTTACAGCAGAATAAACAAACGAATGATTTGAAGAATTTCAGAGTGAAAATAACGTTTTTGTGTTACGCTATCTACATAAGTTTTTCCACCTGCTCGTTCTGTCAGATTAACCGCTTGAGTGTCAATATTCCGTGTGTGCGCGCGCGCGTGTGTTTTCGCCAAAACTTAAAAAAAAAAGAGTGCATTAGAATTATCTTAATAGGGATTATTTTACGTTTTTTTTTTTTTTTTTTTTTTTTTTTTTTTTTTTGAAAGCTGCTCTTAACCGTGAAATATTATTTATTCATAAAACTAAGCTACTCGAACGTAACATTATACTTACGCTATTTATGACATTTCATTATAAGCAGTTTTATTATACAGTCTAGAATAAGTAATAATATCTTTTTAATCATCATCAGTAAAAACATGCATTAGCTTTTTAATCGATAACAAGACTTTATACAAACAATATTTTAAATTTTATTATTATATACCCAATTAATTTTCGTTGTAAATTACGTAGTTTTGCAAACGGGAGGACATTTTATGATTTCCATTAATTTGATAATTGTAAAGTAAACAAGTTCAATAAATATAATTTGTTTTTGTTTTTCGATCGTGGTGAGTAAAAAAATTCGAATAAGATCATCTTTAAAGAATATAACAAAGGGAAAAATATGGAATTTATGAAATATCATTCATATTGCGTTTGTTTCATTTATATTGAAATTGTTCCGTTAGTGTTAGAAGCACTTTCTTCCAGCATTCGAGGATGGCAAGAATTTTTCTTATATATACTACTATATATTGAAAAATACTTATTAAATAAAAGAATTATTACAATGAATAAGATTTATATAATAAATGTCCGATAAATTGTATATTTAATTAAATTTAGCATACGCTTAAAAAGTAATTAATAATGTTGAATAGTAATGATAATATTTTATGAGAAAATGATAAAAAGTTGGGAGAAGTGGCGAGGCATCCTCGCTTAACATTATTTATTTGTGGAATTAAATGTGGACTTTGCCATTCCATGCTTTAAGCAGAACAACTGTTCCCACGATAATCCTGAGAGAGATTACTCCTGTCTCTGGCTATTTGCTTCTACCGACAAATTTTACAAGTTGTACATTCATATTATTTATCCATATGCTTTTACTTTATTTTCCCAATGACAAGTTTATTATAATTAAACAATAATTATGCCACGTGCAATACGTAGAATTGTATTACATATGATCGACAAATTTTATTAAATATCTTTTAATTTGATTTTCATTAATGTTTCGAGTAAATATTTTCTTTAATTATTTGTACATAGACTTGTTAAAAGATTAAAACAGATTGAGAGAGCATGGAAAAGAAGAAAATAGCCAACTAGCGAAATAACATCGAAATAATATCGTATTATAAATAGTATAATACTGTTAAAGAGCAAACGATTGTGAGGCATAAAAATTATAAAAAGAAGGACAGGCGATGGTGAATTATCTCATTTAAAATTATAGGTAAAAAAGTATCAAAAGATGAATTTCGCTTCAATATATTTTCAGACCATTTACTAAGTAAGCTATTTTCAAATAATAAGCGTTAATTTCACAATTTGAAAACGTTCGCAGGACGACCGAAGAATTGTAAAATGACAATTTTACACTTATTAGAAAGTCAAATAGAGAAATCACTCGAGTAAATAAAAGAAAAGGATAATTTTAATTTCTTACGGCTCGCTATTAAGTTATTTTACTCAGCCTAATCATACAAAAGAAGAGAAAATGATATTAGTTATCTTATTACGTATTATCTTATTGGCATATTAGATCGCCAATGCCGTCGGTGAATCCTTATTTATAGTGAAACTAATTTATAAGATTATATTAGTTTTTCCAATTTTATCCGAAGCAACTAATTATTATCCTCTCATGTTTATTAATTGTTAGACGCAACGTCGTTCTCAGTGAATGTAAATGAAATACATTTCGTAATTAATAACACATTACAACATTGAAAAATTTCAGTTAAATGTAAGAATGTTGAATGAACTCTTGGAACGGAAACTTCTTTACAATAAAGAATATGAAAAGAATCACGAGTATTCTATTCACGTCCGACTCAAATGAGGACTTGGAAAACTACGTCCTCTGGATAAAGGATTTTCAAGCCTCGCGTGACGTTGCTTTTAGTATAATAGTTGAAACGTCGAATTTAAAGCCAATTGACCTTGAGCCTGAAATACTTGGACTTAAAGTCACTCTTATTTTCTCTCATTATTCCAATCCTCGTGTTTTTCCGTCGTCAAATTTTCAGAACGAATGAAAGGAGTCTCTTGCGACATAGTTCATGAAAGATCGAATAATTAAGCCTCTCGACTCGACAAATTGTAATAGCTGCCGGCTATTATTATTCGCTTGCACAATGCTCTTGCATAATATGTGCTAAATTTGTCTCTGGAAATATCGATAAGTTTGCAAGTTTCGGTGGGTATTGGTATTATGTGTGTTGCTAATCCGCTACTTATTTCCTCGTCAATTAGATATGGAACGGCTTTTGAAAATACCCACTTCGACTGTTCTTTTAGATTCCCGCGATGCTAAAGCGTTTGAAACGTCATTTTCTTCTTTATGCGCTGGGGGGAAATTGCACTAAACAAGCAATTATTATACTATAATATCATTTCACACGTTGAATGACGAAGCATCGTCGTCCAAGAGCCATTTATCGCCTTTTCGCAAGACGATAAGTTGCAAATCTTTCAATAGGTCGTCAATAAATTCGATTGTACATTCGCCATGAGATACTCTTTATTTTTGCTCGAATCGACAGTTTCAAGTGCGCAAAGTGTTCTTTACGTGATTAATGCATTCTTCGTTTTACAATAATATTGTCAAACGTGTATGCTTTAGTAGCACATCAAATCATTTTTCATTGCATCGTCAATACAAACTAAGTGCTTTTGTGCTTTAACTGAAAATACAACGAATAATATAAAAAAAAAAAAAAAAACAAAAAAACAAGAATCTTGAAAAATAGAATATTACGATGCTAAAAGACATATTAATTCTTTCTCTCGAATAGATAAAAGACGGTTTTATTCGTTGTTGTATTTCCATTATGGATAAAGGAGAAAAGAAGCATAATCAAAAAGACAATTTAGATATAACTTGAAGTAAAAAATTGAATAGTCAAATATTATATATATTATAAATAAACTGTTATAGAACAAAATAAAGGCTATGCAATATTTAGTCTTCGTCTACGATGATATAATAATTGAAATATCAAATTACTTATCGGATAATGATTTTTAAAATATGTATTTTTGCTCCATAAAGCGTTATGTCTTATAGGAGTTTAAGAGAAAAAACACCCACACCGACACACACACACACACACACACACACACACACAAAACTGTTAAGCATTATAGGAAATATTATGCGTAAATTGAACTTATTCGATGCTTTTATTTTCTTTCACTTCCATTAATTATGAGATACATGATTTGAAAATGTATTAAGCAGTATTTTATATATTAACGACAAATTATAATCGCCTCGCGAGTTTATGTAAGATTAGAAAGTAATGCCATGTTCGCGTACCCGTAATTATTGCTTGATTTAAGGTATTAATATGAAATGGCTTAAAAAACACAACTTATTAATACTCGTTCAATTTGAATAGTTGCATTAGCCTAATATTTATTGAATTGATCGAAACATTTATCAATTAACAAACGTCCTTCTATTTTGATTGTTATTAAATATCGCTAGCTTGATATTTTTCACGAGCAATTGCTTTCAATAACAGTATAGTGGCAACTGTTTGGAAATTTAATAAACGGGATTGGATGTAAGCAAACCATACGAGACGTTGGCTTAACGACGATTAAAAGAGGCGCGTAGTCCCTCCCTCCCTCCCCCCTCCCCCACTACATGTCAGTGATTTCAAGCAAAGGAGGAGCAGAAGGGACAACGTCTCTTAAAAATAAACTTGACAACAGCTAAGCACAATGTAAGCAAACGAAAAAATGAAGAGAATCGAAAGGAAAGCACTAAGGCGAATGAAAGTGAGTAACATGGGATGAAAAAATAGACAGAAATGCAAATCAAGGGACAGAGAATCACGTATGGATACGCGCTCGAAAGACGAAAACAAAAAGAGAGAGAAACAAGCCGTGGAGACATTAAATCTCCTCACTACGGACGAAATATATTTTTATTTTACGAATTCGGTATTAAGTGCTTGACTATATTATATTTTAACGAGTAATTAATTAAAATATTTTGTTGGTAATAAGCGACTTAAATAGTTACGCTCTTTCTAAGATTCTCAAAGTAAAAGGCAATAGGTATTTGAACGAAATTTTCTCACTCTAGCAAGAAGTGAACTTTCGCATAGAATGTATTGTATTAATGCATCGTAGATTTTGCAAGTGCAATTTAGCAATCGATATGTGCTCTTGACTCGCATAATTGTAATGATTATGATTATTAAAAGAATTAATAAGTATCGTCGACATAAATAATAAAATATTTGTTTGAAGGTATTAAGTACGAAATCAATTTTATT